CATATTTCATTAGCATTGTGTTGGGGCGATGGGGACAGGCGGGGCTTGAAAATTCCCCCTTGTCCAAAGTGGGGAATGACAGAAAAAGTTTGAGAACCACTGGTTTAAGGTGATGTAGGTATTCAGTTCATGGATCATTTATCAGCTGGTCACAGCTGGTTCCAGTACCATCTGATGACTCTGATCACGTAGTGATATTTAATTACAAATATGATTTTTGATCTCAGTTATCTCAGTGCCTGCGCCATCTTTCTTATTTGTCGTCGCTGTAACAACAAACCCCATGATAATTTGGGAGCTTAGAGCTCTTGCAAAGCATTCTGGGATATATCTGCTTGTCTAGTGACCATGGATGATCACTACTTTTTAGGATGCATTGTGGGAAATTTTGAGTGCACAACCTTTTCATCCACTGGACATTGGGACACTGGTCTAAAATGGTGTAACCATTATATATAGTGCTCTATATACAGATGAGGGCAGACAGTCGTAGACAGCAGCTCCTGTATCTATGGGACTTCTAGTGGGAAATGAGCTGAAAATGTTAATATCTCACTCAGGTATTTGTTCTTAACATCTTTGAATATAAGTCTTTGCTTTATGCAGCTGCTTAAAAAAGGGGGGTTTAAAATGTAGGATTATCGTAGTAGAAAATAATGGTAATTAGAGGGAAATTATTGCACACTCTTCATGACCAACATTAGTCTATAGTCACTCTAGTGTTGAATAACAGGCACTCACAGTTATGGGCATCAGACCTGAGACTGAAACTTAATTTTGGAAGCATTAATGTGATTAAAGCGTCTGTATCACATGTGTAGAATTTGCTGGCATATTGTCTTATGAATTATTGTGTTGCTGTGTGTTTATTTCTCTCTTTATGTAATTTTTAATATATACATTTTGACATTGGCTACCAGCTGTGTGCTGCAGAAAGCTTTGCTCTCTGAAGAATCAACAGGTCTAGACCAACACGAACAGACCAACATATTTCAGGCATCAGAAACACACATTCAGTCAATCTGATAAATGTCACAAAGACCACTTCAAATATCTAAACATTTCAAGGTATATAAAACTTAATAACTTAGCAGAGTAATTTAAGCTTCACTTGACTTTTAAATGTTATTACAGGAGTGAGATTCTGACCAGAACTGATACCATTTCAGTGATTATTAGATTATTAGTGAGACTTATTGAAGCGGACTCCAGCAGAGTGCTCCCCATCCTCCCTCTAATGATGTAGAAACAAGTGAACATCATGGGTACCGAGGTAAAACGTGTAATAAAAGCGCAGGCCTGAACTCACCCCTCGGCGACTGATGCCTCCATGCGATGCCGGCCTCGGGTCGCCCCACCGCCTGGCACATCAGGTTGACGTTGCTGCCCTCGTTCACCGTCACGTCCTTCGATATATTGGTTATCTTGGCAGGAACTGACAAGAGAAGGAAAGGAGTGATTGATGATTTTTAATGTAATTAAAGCCACGTGAGCAGAGAGCCAACGGTCCCCTATGATCAGAGGCTCAACATGGATAAAAATAACACCAAGGTTGGGGACTCAATTAGCATGAAATTAGCTGACAAATCTGACAATCTTCTGGCTTGCCGTCATGTTCTACATGATTGATTTTCTTCACAGCGCTCTGTAGCTTTGCTGCTCTGCTCATTAGACAAGCATGAAAGGATTTGGACTTGGAAGGGATGCTTCTGACAAGGCCGCGTCTGTTTGGACTTTTACCTTCTCCTCTTTCTCTGCGTTTCCTTATTTGACACATTTGAGCCTTTCTAGGAAATATTTACAGTTATTAGAAGCTTTTCTGTCTCTCTGGCTTCAGCCATCTTTTACTGTTGCTTCAACAAGCAGTTCTTGTGCAGGTGAGAGGATCATCTAGAAGGTCGCTCTGCTCTGTGATGCTCTGCAGACAGACACAGCTGCACAGATCAGCTGCTGGAGTGTATAAAAATATTAATTTCTTTTTTGTACAGCTTTCATTTCCTTTTCTTTAGGTGCAGCAGTGATCAAATGTAAACAGTGTAGGAGAGAAAAAACGATGCAAAAAATGCATTGATATGGAAGTTCAGAGCATTAATATC